GTCATAGACAAAAGAAGGGTGTGAACAAGTGATTAACGGTGATGTCTTTGGGGAAAAGAAAAGAGTGGAATTGTGGAGCATGATAAAGGATAGTGTGGATATTTCTTATTCTGCGAGGCCTTTTAGAATTGAGATATAACTTATATCACACTATATTAGTTTCAGGTATAGAACATGATTTTTGTGTACACAGAAAGTAATTGCACAATAATTCTAGGTAACATATCCCACAATACATTGCTTAAAAATATTTTTCTTAATATAACTTTTAAGATCTAATCTTTGAATATATAATATAGTATTTAAATATATAATACATATTAACTATGCTCTCTATATTGTACTTTGCATCACCATTTGTTATTTATTTTAAACAAATTTGAGTTTTAAAGAATAAAGTATTAGTGTAATACTCAAAACTTTATTTTTTATTATCAGGGAATATTCATGACTCTGTGTTCAGGTGCAAGAAATGTGACCTGGACCTCCTGCATGCAAAATATGTGATGCAATCCATTGAATTATGTTTCAGTACCCCTCTAAAATTTTTATGAGGAAGAAGAGGAATCCCCTGCCCCCATGAATGGTCTTACCTCCTATTTAGATAGTTTTCATTTTAGTTAGCCTAATCCATCACTTAAAGGTGAACAGGGTAGTAGAGACTAAAATGACTAAAATGATTATTCTTCCTTGTAATGATATTTTCTTTGCTATCAACTTTGATGCAAAAATTTCAGTAGATGCTCACAAACAATGATGGTGATAATTTCTTCTGGCCAGTTATAGGCAAGGTTGTTAAGAGATTAACACCTGTCTTCAATACATTTTCCATTTCTCTAGACAATCAAATTCCTTCTTGGGTAATGCTAAATATTTATAAAACCTCTCCTGTGTCCCATCTGACTTGGGTAAAGCTTGCTGCCATATTTCTATTTGGGGAATATTTTGATGAACATTGCTGCTAACATAACAGGTTACTTATCCTTACGCCATGCTTTATATTGGTACAGCAAGTCCTTAATAGCAAGGTTTCATTCAACACTGTTTTGTCATAACGTTGAGAGAAAAAATAATCAGTCGTTGGCTGGAGTTTGAATGTTTGTGGCAGGTTTTACAAGCTCTCTCTACATCTGTGGGGTTTCCCCTGAACACTCTGATTCCCCCCCCACCTCCCACTCCCCTTCCCTTCCCTACCCTCACCCCATTTCATATTCCAGAGATGTGCACAGGACGTTCATGGATGTAGCTTAATGATCCCAGTCTGAATGGGCATGGCTTTGAGTAGGTCCAGCAATGGATGGGAGCCCTGTCCAGGGCTCAGCCCTGAGCTGACAGAACAGGCACTGATCATGCAGGAACTCTGAATGGGAATTTCCAAGTACATTGGAAATCAAATGAATATACTAATGAATATGAAATGTTAGTTGATATTAAAAGTGTTTGGGGTTTTTAGAAATTTAATCATATTTTTATGACCAGAAATATACATACAGGCACTGAACTCCTATTCATATCAAGTAGCCTATGGTAAAATTGGTTTCATTGTGTGTCATTTTAACTTAAAGTCATCATGTCTAAGAATCTGCAATGACCACAAATAAGTATGTAGGGTATTTAAAACCTTCAAATTAAAGAAGGGACTCTAATAATGACATTTTAAGCACCATCTGTGAATGGAAGAAGAAAGGGGATGGAGATGAGAAAGCTTTGGAGTCTTCTCAACTATCATTAATAATAATGTCTAAAACTCACTACGTGCATATTTGGCACTAGTATTTTATACTCATTTATTCAGTAAGCACTGAATATGTACCCATGGTTCAGATATTATGCTAGGCATAGTTGCATAGAGGGGAGGATTAAGACATAAAGATGGAAATAAAGATTTTAAAATATAATCTTGTTTTTAAGTGCCTTAGAACTGTGAAGGCAGTCCATGTGCCCTAGAACTGTGAAGGCAGTCCACATGTGATGTGTACACATGTACACACACATACACACACACACACACACACACAAGCTGGAATAATCAAAATAGCTCCCTGAGAACACACCCGTCCTAGTCTTCTGAATAACTAGGTGTGAGAATGTATTTGTTCAAACCTGGTGAAAGTTAGACATGTGCAGCTGATACAAACTTTTCCATTCCCATGGAGCAATTCAGTAAAAAGGAATCTTAATCTTACAAAGATTTCCCCCCGCACTCACCCCTGCCACCACCAGTTCCAACCTGTACACACACACACGAGAGAGAGAGAGAGAGAGAGAGAGAGAGAGAGAGAGAGAGAGAGAACCTGTTCTATAGTCTTTTGTATTCTCAGCATGATCCAATACCACTGACCACCCACAACAACAAAAAGCTTCTAACTGTTGAGAACAAACAACATTTTGGAAAAGCCACTCGTCTTATCTAAGAGCCTCCACACAGAGGCATGAGTGCAGTGACCAAGACTCAAAACATCATTTCTGTAAGTCTCATTAAAAATACTATGCCTTAAACACACACACACACACACACACACACACACACACACACACACACGGACAACAGCACAGATCAAGAGTACAAAACATAGTATATAGAAATTGGGTGCCCATCGGAGGACAGACCAAAATCAGCATGGAACCCTGATTTGTGAACATGAAGAGCAGTAAAAAAAAGACTTAAATTGATTCCATGTGAATAAAAGGTGTTTGGCAAAGCAAAACACTACTATGCCCCAGATAAACACATTTTCTCTTCAATGTACATCTTTCATTAATCTTCAGAAAGAGAGGTTAAAACCTGGGATATCATACACAATTATTTCACAGGAGATATATCTCTAAACATTTTTTTTAAAGACAAAAATTGCAGTTTTGATTATTGGGTGACAGAAGAAAAGAGTAAGTCATACAAGGTCACTGTACTTTGGCCCTCTTTGTTTTTTAAATTAGCATCACTATAGAATTGCTCAGCTGTGTATGGTGTCCTCCCTAAAAATCCTAGGTTGTGCCTAATAAAAGGACTGCCTCTCAGTCTGAAATTGGCTGGTAGAAAATAAAAAGCACTGAGTTTATCTGGAACAAATGCCTACGTCCAACAAGAGTCTTTATTCAGGAGTCCATACAAAGGTCAGAGAGTAAATCATATTTATTTAACGTAACCACAGCCAGTACTTTGTAGATGGAAACTAACATCTTGCATTCTATTCCCCCCTGATGTCCCAAAAGATTTGTGATGTCCCAGATTTTCCCAATTACCTAGGACCAGGTACTGATATCTCAGCAATACCTCAGCTCATCCCTGCATTTGGATGTCATTATAATGCAGGGATGTGGTTAGAAGATCCTTACGCTGGCCTTTTAAGGTAATCGGAACAGAAACATCATTACTTACCAGTAGAAAGCTGCAGCAGAAGCAATCTAATGCTCTGCCTATAGAACAATAACAAGTCATGGGATTTTTTTTGAGCAGGATGGAGTGATCTGAGGTCATCTAGTATACCCAAGTTGACTTTGCAGATGTGGCAACAGAATGGAGGGGCACCGGGCCAATGTCACAAAGCATATGAGTGACAGAGCTTGGACGTGAACTCAGCTTTATGATTTAGTAGCCAAGATCTTTGCAAACTGTCTATTCTATTGCATTCTTTTTTTTTCCTGTATAAAGTAACTATAGAAAAAGAGTAGGGGATTATACCCTTTGCCTATGTGGTGAGGTCTTAGGCTCACTCAATTGGAGAGTGGGAAGGTCTATAGTGAAGCTAATTATAAAACAAAGAGGGCCAAAAAGGCACAGAGACTTTTTGGCAGGAAATTTTTTAAAAAGTTTCTCAGGATTCCAACACTCTTTGGAATTTTGTTCATTTATTAATCCAGGTTTATAACTCCTTGACTCAATCTTACTGACTGAAGTTAGAGTACTCTTCAATTATTAGCTGACTGAAAATCTGGTACTAGCAGCATTCTTCACTCCTGCATTTGACAGGGGAAGTTAGGCCTGATATTCAAATTAATATATACAACAACTCTGGTAATCTTATCTGGGGATAGCTGAAATCTTGTATCTTCTAAGTCCCAAAGAAAGGCATCATCTACTTGGCTGAGAAATTAGACAAGCAACATCAGCTTGTCTAATTAACAGCAAACTGTTGTTAATTCCTGAATACCACTTGCTTCTCACGATATGCTTTGCAGGAACAAAAGAAATATCACTCAGAAACAGCATTCCCCTTCATGTCTAGGTTATAACCTTATCTCCTAACATTCTTCATTCCATCAATAGACTTGAAAGTGGGGCTTTGGTTTGTGAAATGTCTCTTTGAAATTATAATCATAAATGAGATGGTTTAGCTTCAACAGAAATCTGTTCCAAAAAAGTATCAGAAGGCAAGTCTCTCAAGACACCATAAAATTCTGTGGACTGAAGCAGTGATTGGATTGATTAAGACTCAAGGTTGGGTAATAATGAGACCCAGGCAGGGCTGAACAATGAAATGCTCTAATTGATTTTATGCATGTGGAATGACACACACACACATACACACACATACACACCCCAGAGCATACCATAATGAATCTGCATGCTGTGTGCACAGATTTCATAGTGCATCAATTTTACCACCCAGATGCTCCAGTTTCATGAACCCTGCAGTCCACAAGCCAATCCATTGCTGGTGTGAGGACTTGGGACAAAGGCTAAAAGGTGGCTGAGGCTATGAAGTCTGCGGTCAGTTCATATTCCCTTCAGGGCAAGAAGAAGTGCAACATACGCACATACCAGCCATGCCACAAACTTACTTCAGTGTAGGAGCCTCTGGACCTGAGCATGGCCACTGGGTTGGAATTCCAAAGCCCTGGTTTCAATTAAATTTAAGTGGATTTGACTAAAAGTTTGAACTGATGCTAATTGGTTTTCAAAACACCGGGCAACAAGAAGCTTTCTGGTTTTGCCCATGGACAGATGCACCCAGTTTTGAACATGCTTCTGGTAGCAGAGCAGGCAACTGCCCACTTACCTTGCTGGGCAGGGATCCAAGCTGCAGGATTTGAGGAGCTGGGGGGGCCGGCGGCTGGTCACGCACAGGTTCTCATCAGCAGGCTCCCGTGTCTGTTTGTTCAGGCAGCTCACCACAGCCTCCTGGACACCTGTGTACAAATCACACTGTCAGGCCGGAGTGGGCATGTGTGGGGTGATGAAGTGTAGACAAGGCAGCTGGTGGGAGGTCGCTGCGATCGACAGAACTTAAGCTGCATGTTAGAGGCAGCAGTGCGAAGCTTGGGACGGCCCATCTTGTCAAACATCACTTGATTTGGGAGCAAGCACACATAAGCTGTGCCTCGGGAAGCATGCCCCTCAAGGAGGACAACCACTAGAACTGCTACCAGAACTGCTGAAATGTTTTAAGAAATGTCACCAAGCAATATAGCTGCTAGAGCTGAAATATGGTCATGAATGCAGGAGAATAGGCCAAATAAATGGCCCCAAGACCTACACAGGTTATGCATACTATCATTTATTTATTTTATTTATTTTAATTGTTATTCGTTATTCGTCGATTGCCTCGAGCAGGCCCCAGTAACGTCTCTTTCATCCTAGCCCTGAGATTATATTCAAGGCTATTTAGGATAATGAGACCCATCATTGTTACTGGTATTTGGCATATTTGGTACGCCACGGGGAGTTTGCCAGACTCTGCCCTGTGGGCAGGCTACATTCGATAGCCTGCAAATTTTAATTGTAACATATCTTATTTTTTAAAATGGGGTCTGTCCAAACATGATTGCCACTCAGTGCCTCTCTTGCAAACCACAGGACCCCAAAGGAGAGATAGAGAACAAAAGGGAATGCCCTGCCACAGAGGAACAGTGGGATGGGGAGGATGGGGGGTGGGAGGGATGCTGGGACCCGTGGTGGTGGAGGATGGGCACTGGTGGAGGGATGGGTACTTGATCATTGTATAACTGAAACCCAAGCACAAAAATTTGTAAGTCTATAACTGTACCTCATGGTGTTTCACTAATAAAAAAAACAATTCAATTCACAAAAAAGGGGGTCTGTGGGGAGTTCCAGGGTATAGATATATATCCAGGAGTGGAATATCTGGTTATTTCTAGATTTCTTAATTTTTTTAAATTGTTGAGTCACCAGAGATATACAGTTACAGAGTTGTTCATGATTGGGTTTCATACAATATTCCAATATTCACCTCCACCAGTGTACATTTCCCATGACCAATGACTCAGTTTCCCCCACACTCCCCAGCCCCAGTGCCTGTCCCATATAGGCAGGCACTTTTTTTTTTTTATTAGTGAAACACCATGAGGTACAGTTGTAGATTTACAAATTTTTGTGCTTGGATCTCGGTCATACCACGATCAAATACCCATCCCTCCGCCAGTGCCCATTTTCCACCACCAGGATAATATCCCTCCCCCCCATCCCCCCATCCCCCCATCCCCCCATCCCCCCCGCCACTGTGGCAGGGCATTCCCTTTTGTTCTCTCTCTCCTTTTGGATGTTGTGATCAGCAAAAGAGGCATTGAGTGGCTAACATGTTCAGTCCAGTCTACTTTCAACCTGCATCTCCCCTCCTGGGAGGATCCTCCAAACACCCTCCACTTGGTGTTCCCCTTTCTATCTGAATTGTCCTTTCCCCTAGAATATCCTGCTGGCCTCTAAGTTATGGAGTAATTCTCCTGCTGTTGCTCTCAACTATTCTTGGGGTATTAATCTCATATTTTATTATTTTATATCCCCCAGATGAATGCAATCTTTCTATGTCTATCCCTCTCTTTCTGACTCATTTCGCTTAGCATGATACTTTCCATATTGTACCACTTGTATGTAAAGTTCATGACTTCATCTTTTCTAAGAGCTACATAGTACTCCATTGTGTAGATGTACCAAAGTTTCTTTAACCAGTCATCTGTTCTTGGGCACTCAGGTCTCTTCCAGTTTCTGGCTACTGTAAAGAGTGCAGGCAGGCACTTTTCTTCTTCTTCTCTCTCTCTCTCTCTCTCTCTCTCTCTCTCTCTCTCTCTCTCTCTCTCTCTCCCCTCCCCCCACCTTTTTGGGTGCTATGGTTTGTAATACAGGTAACAAAAGGTTGTCACATTTGTTCCTGTATCTACTTTCAGCATGCAGTTCTTATGCAGAGTGACCATTTCCAACTAGCATTGCCATGATGGTTCCTTTTCTATCCCAACTACCTTCTCCCCCAGCACCTGAGGCAGGTTTCCAATTGTGGACCTATCCTCCTGGCCCATGTTTTTACTATTTCTGGGTAAAATGAATGCAATCATTCTACGTCTGTCCCTCTTCTTCTGACTTGCTTTATTCAGCATGATACTCTTTATGTCCATCCATTTATAAGCAAATTTCATGACTTCACTTTTTCTAACCACTGCATACTATTCTATTGTATAGATGCACCACAGTTTCTTTATCCCGTCATCTGTTCTCTGGCACTTGGGTTGTTTCCAGATTCTGGTTATTATGAATAGTTCTGCAATGAACATAGAAGTGCAGATGACATTTCTGCTGTGTTTTTTGTGCCCCCAGAGTACATTGCCAAAAGTCATATTGCTGGGTCATAGGAAAGCTCAACTTCTAGTTTTTTGAGGAATACCTATATTATTTTCCGAAAGTGCTAGACAAGTCAGCATTCTCACTGACAATGAATGAGAGTCCCATTCTTCCCTCAATGGCACCAACACTGGTTGTTCTTGTTCTTTTTGATGTGTGTCAGAGTCTGTGGTGTGAAATATCTTATTGTTGTTTTGATTTGCATCTCTCTGATGATTAGTGATGTAGAACATTGTTTCATGTGCCTTTCAGCCATTTGCATTTCTTCTTTGAGGAAGTTTCTGTTTATTTCTTCTTGCCAAAAGGTTTGGAAGAATTCACTAGTAAATCCATCTGGGCCATGGCTTTTGTTTTTGGGGAGGCTTTGATTCCCATTTTAATTTCTTCAATAGTGAGAGGTCTGTTCAGCCATTCCAAATCTTCTTGGTTCATTCTTGTGAGGTTATTTGAATCTAGGAATTTATCCATTTCTTCGAGGTTCTCTATTTTTGTGGCATAAGGTTTCTCAAAGTAATCTCTGATGATCTTTTAAATTTCTTTGGTTTCTGTTGTATGTCTCCCCTTTCACTTCTGATTCTGTTTATTAGGGTTCTCTCTTTGTCTTTGTGAATCTTGGTAGTGGTTTATTGATCCTTTTTATTTTCTCAAAGAACCAGCTCTTAGTTTTATTGATCTTTTGGATTGTTTTTTTGGGATTCCAGCTCATTTATTTCTGCTCTATGTTTTATTATTTCCTTCCTCCTGCCTGGTTTGGGCTCCTTTTGCTGGTCATTTTCCAAGATCTTAAGCTGTGAAGTTAGATTATTTATGTGGGCTCTTTTTTCTTTCCTGATGTGCGCTTGCAGAACTATAAACTTTCCTCTTAACACTGCTTTTACTGTGTCCCACAGTTCTGGTAGCTCATATCTTCATTATCATTTGTTTCCAGGAAACATTTGATTTCCTCTTTGATTTTCTCTATAACTCACTGGTTGTTCAGTAGGGAGCTGTTTAATTTCTAGGTGTTTAATTTAACTATCTATTTCTGTGTGTGATTAACTTCTCTGTTCAGTGCACCATGGTCTGAAAAGATGGTTGATACAATTTCTATCCTCTTAATTTTATGGAGGTATATTTTGTGGCCCAGTATGTAAGTCTATCTTGGAGAATGTGCACTGGAGAAGAATGTGTATTTGGGGATGCAAAGCCATATATATAGTATATACACACACATATCTCCTAATCCCCTTTCTTCCATTTCTCCCCTCAAATAAAGTGTTTCCTTGCTGAACTTTAGTCTAGTTTATCTATCAAGAGGTGACAAAACAATGTTGAAGTCTCCAACTACTATTGTGTTGCCATTAATGCATTTCTTCAAATCTATTAGTAGTTGTTTTAAAGTACTTTGCTGCTCCCTCATTTGGTAAATATACATTTAGGAGTATGAGATTTTCCTGATGTATAGATCCCTTGATAATTAAGAAATGACTTTCACTGTCTCTTATAACCTTCCTAGCTGAAGTTTGAAACTAGTATGGCTTCCCCTGCTCTTCTAAGGGGGTTGTTTGCTTGAAAAATTGTTTTCAAGCCATTGATTTTGAATTTGTGTTTGCTCTGCCTGTTCAAATATGTTTCCTGCAGGCATCAGAGTGTTGGGTTCAATTTCCTAATCCATCCCGCTATTCTGTGTCCCTTAATTGGTGCATTTATTCCATTAACGTTGAGAGATTATTGTTATGTGGTTTTGTAGGTTTTTCCATCTTTCTGCTGAAGTTTAGTATATTACTGGGGCTTGTCTTATCTTAAAGTAGCCCATTTAGTTCTTGTAACAATGATTTTGTGTATGCAAAGTCTGTAAGTTGTTGTTTATCTGTGAAGTTATGTATTGTTCCTTCAAATATGAGTAAAAGTCTGGCTGGATAATATATTCTGGGTTTATTTCATTGAATTTTTTCACTATATCCCACCACTGTCTTAGGTCCCTGAGGGTTTTATCTGATAAGTCTGCTGTAATTCTTAAAGATGCTCCTTTGTAAGTAATTTTCTTCTTTGATCTTGCTGCTTTCAGTATTCATCTCTACCTATGGTTTTTTTTCTACCTATGGTTTTTGTTATTCTGATTAGGATGTGTCTTGGAGCAATTTTATTTGGATTTCTCTTAGCTGGTACTCTTCGGGCTTCCTGGATCTAGATGCATACACTCTTCAGCTCTGGGAACTTCTAAGCAATGATGGCTTTGACAGTTGCTCCTTCATCAGGGTTTTCTTCCTGCCTCTCTGGAACCCCAATGATTCTTATATTATTCCTCTTGAATTCAGCCTGATGTTCTCCTGTCATCTGTTGGTTTATATTGGGGCTCTTTTCCATCTTCTATTATTGTCTGGAGATTCTCTGCACCTCATTTTAGCACACTGACTCTGTTTTTCATTTCACCTACCAAGTTTGTCATTTCTGCTTGTTATTTTCATTTGTGTTTTTCTAATTTCTGTTCTCATATCTACTTGTATTCTATTGGCTGTGTTTTTCATCGTTTCTTTGACCTATTTATGCATCCTTAATAGTTCCATTCTAAATTCCTTGT